GCGGGTCTGGGAGAGAGAGAGGGGGAATGAGAAAGGGGGGGCGCGGGTCTGAGAGAGGCTAATTAGCCTCTCTCGGTCAATTCGGGCGCGGGCTACCCAAAAATTTTGGGCGCCCGTGCCCGAAATTTTTTTCCCACCAAAACATTTAGCGACGAAATATTCCGTCGGTAAAAAGTGTTTTAGCGATGGAAATTCCGTCGCTAAAAACATTTTTACCGACGGAATATATTATTGTCGGTAATGATTTAGCGACGAAGTATTTCAGTCGCTAAAACAAAATTTTCCGTCGGCAAATGGGTTTTTTCCTACGGACATATAGCAACAGAATTTTCGTCACTATATGTCATGTTATAGCGACGAAAATTTCCGTCGCTGAATATCCGTAGCCAATACACCATTTTCTAGTAGTGTAAGTAGCACCAGAATCCAACATCAAATCCAATGCATCAGCATGGCTAACCTATGGAGTAATCAATAGAGAAAAGAATGAATCGTCAAAATCATCACCTCTAGCGACATTCATCTCATTGGCCTTTGGGCCCTTCTTCATGCTATTCTCCTTCTCTTTGAACTTAGGGCAATCTGTCTTCCAATGTCCTTGTTCTTTACAGAAAGCACACTGATTCTTCGCTAATTGGTAGTGGCCTCTTGACTTTAACCTGCCTCTGTTGCCACCTCTCGGATAGGGACTCATTCTTCTCGTCAACAAGGCCTCTCCTGAAGTGCTGGCTCGGAAAGACTCTTTATCCTTCCTCCTCAAATCGAAATTCTTCAACGCATTAGTCACTTCATTATAGGTGATGAAAGATCTATCATTCAACAATGTTAGCACAAAGGTATCAAAATCCTCATTCGGTAATGAGACTAACAAATTGATCGCCTTATGCTCATCTGATATCTTCTCATCCACATTTGCTAAGTCTGACAACAACTTTGTGTAGTTGTTCACATGATTTGCAAGTGAGGTACTCCTGGACATCTAGAATATGAACAATCTTAACAGTAAGTGCAACCGGTTCTCAACACTCTTCGTAAGATATTTGTTGTTGAGAATCTCCCACATCTTCATCGCAGATGTCACATCGATCATACTATACTTCAACTCTTGTTTCAAACAAGATCTTATTACCCCCACAAGCGTTTCGATTCATCTTGTCCTATATTGCATCATCATACTTCAGTGGCCTCTCATGGACCATGATGGTCTCCTCTAAGTTCTGAGCATTCAAAGCATCTTGCACATCATTCATTCATAACCCAAAGTTAATCTTACCGCCATACTTCACAACACTAATCTTCGTATTCTGAAGTACAATGTGAACTGTACTTATTGTAGCTTTGCTGCTTTCACCATTATCTCCTGCCATTGCTTGCTAACTCTAAATTATAGATAAAATTCAAACAACTGATAGAATTGAGAAATTACCTAACTTGAACCCTAGATTGGATTCCAACACGAACTCCCAACCACACAAAAAAAGCAAGATCTCCAACTGGCAACTTCGTAATATTATCTCCACCAAAGCCTAGATCTCCAAGATCCAAGCTTCCAACAACGAATTTTCTTCCACCCAAAACAAACCCTAGGTTTGAAACCGTAGAGCTCTGATGCCAATTGTTGCGTGTCGGTGGAATCGTGCTTACGAACCAAACACTCACACGAGTCGGCGAACAAGAGAAAAGAACAATCAATAAGTGCAATTCACAAAAGAACGACCAAAATCAATCATAAACATAGAGATTTACGTGGTTCGGCAATTGCCTACATCCAATGGGAGAGGATGGAGAGATTTTACTATATGAAGGAGAAATACAATAGGTTACAACTCTCTCAAACACTCAAAATAACCCTAAGCAATAATCTCTCACTCCCTCACAATAATCTCCCTCTCAATGTGCTAAAAAGACTCTTTTTTCTCTCTGATTTTTCTTATTAAACGTTCTATATATATAGAAACCCTAAAATCAAAACAGACTAGGAATCCAACAATTTTAAAACCAAAACAAAAATAGACTAGGAATCCCAATAACCAAAACATATTAGGAATCCAACAATTCTAAAACCAAAATCAAAACAAACTAAGAATCATGTTTGACCTAATAACCTGCTATCCAACACATCCATCCATTTCTGGTTTATCAAGACTCTATGTAATTTACTGAAGACACGGTGACTTGTCCAAGTAAAAAAAACATCCCTACACTTCATATTAAAGAATTGAGCATCATATATGAGAGGTTGAAGCACAACAAGCTCATTTGTAGGCATAGGTCTACCATTGACTCTAATTTCCCCGATATCTCTTATATAATTAAAATCACCCAATAAGATCTAAGCAGAGTTGATGGAGGAGGCTAGATTTTTTATAAAATTTCAAACAGGTATCCTTTGATGAGAAGAGTTATAACCATGTATGAAGGAGTCCAATTAGGAACAATAAAAACTCTTGTACCTTCAATCAAGTAGTGACTTAACTTAAGAGACGTACGTAAAACTTTGAGAGACATGCAGTAAGGATCCCATACGACCATTATTCTACTATGTATATCAAGATTAAAAATATGTATAAAAGACCAAGTAAAAGCACATCTACTAACAACATCATTAATATTAGAGTGTGACACTATCACTTTAGTCTCACATGGACTAATATGAAGAAATGTCAGTGGTTTAAATAGAGAAAAGCTCAAGGCCTAAGAACAATGAGTGCTTGCATTTTGACAGTAGATTTTATCCAACATCGAGTTGCTCTCGGTGGGTCTCACGGCTTATACGTGCCAACGGACCCTTGGGCCCGGGACGTGACAAAATGATATCAGAGCAGTTACCAGCCGGAAGTGTGGAGCGAAGTGTTATACGGGGTTGAGTGTTACACCGTGTGTATGCGGTGTGAGCCACATCTAGAGCCCGTAGGAGCCACCACTAGAGTCTACATCGCCTGGCAGTGATACTGGGATGTGCCAATTGTCATGTCGTGACGACGAGGACGTCGTCTTTGTAAGGTGGGGTGATTGTGACACTCCCATTTTAGTTCCACATGGACTAATATGAAAAAATGTTAGTTGTTTAAATAGAGAAAAGCTCAAGGCCCAAAAACAATTAGTGCTTACATTTT